CACAGTTGTTTGGGGCCACTAAAAGCACAGTTTTTGGGAGCCCCTCTTTCATGCTACCGAATCTGCCTCACATTTTTAACACCTGCTCCTCTCTCCCAAAGAAAACTTTTTGGCTGCTCCTTCCTCCCAAAGCTCTTGGCTGCCTGCGAAGTTTGCCTTTCCCAAACCCACGCCCGTTGGTTTTTGAAGACTCCTCCCTCCCCAAAACAAGAACTTGCACACAGCAACACGCACAGAGCTCTCGCAGAGATCGGCTTGCAAACTTGCGGGCAACTTGCGCAGAGCGCACGTGCGCAGACAGCAGTGCCACAACAACAACTTACGTGAAGCGCCGCGCGCAGAACGCTCAAAAAGATGTATTTGCGCAGAAAACTTGCACGGCGCACTGCGCAGTCTACTTGCAAAGTTGTTGCACATTGCTAAGTCTGCAGACTCTTGTGCTCATCATGTGGAACACTCCGATTCCATGGGCGCCAACAATAGTTTGTTTGCAATGGCCAGATGTGAAACAGCAGCACGCTGCAAAGGCGACAATGTGTCTCACTGACTGAAAACTCAATTCAATGTAGGCAAGCGTAATAGCTGCGCGACCAAGTACAAGAAAAAGAAATGTGCTGCGCATGCGGGCCAATCGTCCTGTGGTGTTTACTTGTTTGTTTATTTACATAGAAAGTTCAACGTTATGTGTATCTACTTATATACCGGTTTATGTTTAGTTGCGTTATTCATGTCTAGTAAGTGTGTGCGCTTCTTCATGAGTTTGCTCATGTGTTCATATCCGCACAGTGTCGCATGCATGTTCTGTTTTACAGGCTTGCATACTCACAATCAATGTACATGTGCATCCATGGACAGAATTCTATAGACAGAAAGCGGCCATGCACCGCGGCTTGTCGTTGAGGTGGGCATTGGTTTCCTGGTCTTTGCGGCGGAGTCCTCCTGCTTCCGCAAGCCTGGGGAGTGGGACCCGGAGGGGCCAGCGCCGGCGGCGGCGCACGAATCGGAAGGGGCGCAGGCAGTGGAGCAGGCGGCGGGGGCCCATGTGTGATGGAACCCATTGAGGCTCAGAGACAAGGGAGGTGTCAGCCAGTTTCGAGGGGGCGTCCAAGTTCTCCCCAGATGTGGGCTTGTTTTGTTTGCCGTGACACCTTGAGAGTGGCAGAGGGTGGCTCATTTGGGCGTGTTTTTTTGCGAGGCTAGGGCAAGAGTGTAGGGGTGTTCTATAGGGTTCTAGATTATATGCAACCAAAGGGACAGAGATCAGGTCACCGAATAGCAGGGTGTGTTTACCGTATTTCCCGGAAAAGTTACAAAGATCCACCCAAATATCGATAAAAGGGTGTTTGTGCTAATTTAGAGCTCGTCCAAATGCCCTTCTCGTCCCTGGACCGACCATCTGCCAGTGATTCCGACCGAAAGCTTTTCCATGAAATCCCAGCCATGTGTTACTAATATTCTAGGGGAACTTCCCCGTTCTTTCCAGGGATCCTTCTTTCTGGAAACCCTCAAAAACCCAGGAGAAGCAGATCCGGTTTTTGAAAAGAACGATGGTTGAAAAAATTGGGAATCAACCACTAGAAAAATGGAAAGGGACACCAAAACGACCCACTGGCCCACGACCAAAATATGTGGAGCTTAAAATCGAAACTCAACTCAGCCTACCCGAGAAAGTGATGAAGTCACGAAAGCATTGCGAAGGGTTGCTAGGCAAGGCTTGGAGCGCATTACATCAGCAAGTGGCACGAGCTAGTTGCATTAGCAAGTTGCAGTAGCAAGTTGCAGTAGCAAGCAGCACTGGCGAGTTGCGACAGCAAGATACCACTAGCAAGAAGCATTAGCCAAGTTTGCACCAGCAAGCTGCGCTAGCGAGTTGCAGTAGCGAGTTGCCGACCCTCGGTGGCGATCGGCGTGGTCGATGTCAAAAAACTGAGGACTTTTTGAGATTTTTGCTGTTCGCGCTCCCCCCTCTGCGGGGTCGATATTGAAAAACCGAGAACTTGTTCTACTCTTTGCGGTTCTCGCGCAACGCTCCGCGGGGTTTGGTGGCCGATCGCTCGCTCTACAGTTACAAAAGTGGTACGAAAGTAGTGCGCGACCTACATAGAAGTTTGTTCAGAGAAACTGGCTGAGAGACATTGCTCAAAGAACCTGTGCCAGGAACTTGTGCCAGGAACTTGCTTGGACAACTTGCTCAGAGGAACTCGTGCCAACAATTTGCTCAGCGGAACTTGCACAAAGACCTTGCTAGGAGAACTTGCCGCCGCTGCCAATGCTTTCGGTTTCCCATCATCTAGTTTGTATTGGCTTGGCTGAACATGAGGTTGGGAGTCATGGACCCTTCACGGGGAATCTCGACACCCATGATTGCTATTTAGGGAACCGTGGCTTTGATGTAAGAAGTTTGACCGCCCATGGCGAATGATCCTGCCGCCCCAAAAGGACAACTTGGCGGCGACCTGCTGATCCGCAAGACTGGTGGCAAGGTTCTGACAAAATCCTCCCTCATTTGCGCCATGCTCAGAATAATTCCTTGTGTGAGGTATATATATATATATAGTTTTCGGCCGCTACGTCGGCTATAGTCATGCCCCCCCGAAAAGGAATCCATATAGCGGCCCTACCCCCACGTACACAAGCAAAGGGTTGTCTCCCAACTGAGCGAGCTGCCACTATCCTCATCGCCATTTAATTTGCTAGCTGATGTTGGAAAAAGCCCGCGCATGAAGGATAGGGACCATTGGACGATAATTTGCCTATGTTGTGGCGAGCTCACCGCATCGGCAGTAAAACGAGCTGAGCATGATGTAAGTCTTACCTTTCGGCACGCCTTGTTACAGGTGTTGTAAATCTTGAAAAGAATTGCAGAATATATTGTGAGACCCGCGGTTGCTCCATTGTGAAGGCTGGGGATTTGTTTGTGACATTTCCTCACCGGATGACCCTGAGTCACGAAAAGCCGAGGGCACCACTTTTGGGACCCATAGCCGGAGCTGCCTGGGGAACCCAACACAGGTGAACCAGTTTTGGGTGAACATCCGGTATTCGGAAGCATTGGGGTAAAAGATGTTCACTGAAATATCCCAGTTGAGAGAGGGTCATGGAAAAAGATGTAGAAAGTATTGCCAGCGATGTGTGGGAAGAGTTTCAATGAAAGCCGAATTGATTTGAAAGGACGCGTGCTCATTGCAGGATGAGGGCGAGGCCAAGGGGGTGAACGTGACTCCTGCAAACACCACTGCAGCCTACAAGCCTGAGGGGCACAATCAGCAGTCGGGTGATGCGTTCGTCTCAAAGGTTTGAGCTCCAAACTGACGAGCTCAACGTCCTGACGGAGAAGCGATTTTGAATGGCTTGACTCTCACTGCTAGTGGCATGTTTTTCTCAGCTTTCAGTATGTTTGGGTCTGCTCAAATGAATTGGCGGCTGCAAGACAGTTGAGCGGAAGTGACACTATGAATCCACCTTCGCCTATTCAGCCCGTTCAAGCAATGGCAATTTCTCGTTTTTGTAGAGCAACGCTTGGCATTCTGGGCTTTTGAATGAAGGCTAGCCCCTGCAATGAGTGAAAAACAAAAACTTAATGAGTGTTTTGCAACCGGGCAATCCAAAGTGGCCTGGAGCAGCAGCAGAGAGAACTTTAGCACGTTGTTGCAAGGGCTGGAACCAGGGTCCATTCGAAGGAGCAATGGCTTGCACTTGAAGGTTGTTGGCCCATCCCTGTTTCGAGCCCTCACTCGTTGGCTCGTTGCCCGCTGAGCGGCGCAATGTGACTTTCCCTTTTTGCTGCAAGTCGCAGCGTCCGGGCCAATCCTGTGAAACAGGTGGGCCCAAGAGGGCCATGGTCAGGCTGCATTGCCCAGGATTGCAAAAAAACAAAAAACGTGTAGTTGTTCTACTTGCTTGCGTATGTTTACGCGTTTTGCACCTATTCTCCAGTTTGGGCTTCTGGGCTCGTAGCTCCGCCCTTTGCCACCTGGCCGTGCCAACTGCTGGAAATCCGGCTCCCACATTGTGACAGTGTGGATGTTTGCACACAGCTTGGTCGCGGATGCGGGTGTGTTCTCGGCTTTTCGAACCGAAAAGGCGGCGCGAATCTCGCCTTTGCAAACTGTCTGGGGGTTGACGAGTTTCCTTGGGGGTTCATCCGTGGTGTCAACTTGGTTCCAAGCATTTACCAGTGCCATCTTACAATGCAACGCAGTGTAATTGTGCATGAGACATGGTCAGTGCGTTTTGATTAGTTTGGGAAGTTCAGGGCAGGTGCGGCAGGGCCCCTGCATTCGATGTTCTCCTTCGAGCGATTGCGATGTTCGAATGCATGGACCTTGTCCTCTAAAGGGGCTAAAAGTGCTGCATTCTGCAGGGCTCCTTAAAAGATACATTTTGCCCATCTGAAACATGGCTTTTTCACCCACAATACAGAGAAACCACCATTTACAAGGCAATGTTCAGGTGTGTCATGTAAGGATCCCTGTTCTGCTTGCCATTTAAGAACACACGATAATGTCAAGTTGTGATCAATGAACGCCCCTCCACAGATTGCTGTGCTCTCAAATTAAGTTCTTCGGGCAAACCAGATGCATTTACAAAGCCACCTTTACTGTCGATGGACAAAATCCTGCACCACCAACCAGAAACCCCTGCATCCGATGACCCCCCTGTAAATACCAACAAACAGTGGTTTCCCATGGTGTCAAAGTGGTGCGAACGGATTTCGTCCATCCACAGTACTGTGCATTCCTACGATGTTTCCCTGCGGGCACAGCTCGGGATGGCTCCCACTCACAAGGTGAATTGGGGTTCTGGGGGACTTCAATCCCAATGAAGTAATAAACAGGAGCAGAATGAATGTGTGTGTGTGTATGTGAGTGTGCTTGTAAATGGGGGACCCCAAAACGGGTGAACTTCACTTGCGGAGGCTTTGCTTTCGAGACGCCCTGAAAAGGGGTCCAGGGCTCCTGCCTTAGGTTTGATGGCGGTGTCCACCTTTCCACACTGAGGCAAGAACGCTATCCTGATGCCCTGCAGGCGCACCGCGAGCCGACGCCAGCTTCGCACCAGATTGATTTTTACCCCCTGCCTCAGAAAGGGTCATCCATCACAACTGGTAAGCGGACTTTGCACCACCCACTTTTTGTGTGTGCCTCTCAAGGCGTTCAAAGCCAAAAAGTGGAGAGTGTTGTTGTGTTTGTTATGTGTGTGTGCGGTCCGAAGAAAGGACATACAACCACTGGCTGGAGTTTTTACAGGGGGACAATGTTAGGGCATCTTAGGGCTTCTTCGGTGCGAAATGGCTGTGGGTCAAAACCAATGACCAATGATACAATTTTGGGGTAGGTGCACCACCCACTTTAGCCTATTTCAGTTGGGATTGGGATGTTCACTGGATTTCGACCATCAGTACAACCAACGGGACAATCTGCCGATCGGCAGGTCAGCGCCTTTGAGGGTACCGGCCTGGATGACTTGAACATGGAGGCCGTCAGCAGTGGCTTCAACAAAACGTGTCAAAAGCTTTTGGCCTGCTTAGACCTGGCGGTCCAGGTGCCGCCTTTGAAAAGTAAGGGCCCCTGATTTCGAGAAACAAAAACGGATACAGCAACGTGTGTTGCTTGTTGTTGCTGTTCGCCTCTGTGGTGTGTGTTTGCGGCGTTTGCGGGGCCATGACGTTTGGTTCGCTGCGATTTTGGTAGCTCTCCGGAGTCCAGCGTTTCGGGCTTGTGACTGCTACCATCCAAGACCAACGCCAAACCCACTCCAACTCCCTAAACCCAGACTATCCGAAATCCATAGCCACTTCTAGGCCGACCTTGACACTGGAGACTTGACCAACCCAGAAGTCCCCCAACACGATATGAACCGACAGGCCAATCCTTCAACCGGACCCAAAGCCAACTGCACACCCAGCTTGCACCAAGCCTAAACCCAACGCAAACTTTGATGTCACCCAATCCTAATCCCCCCCAAGCCAACCCTAATCCAACCCTAAATCCAGCCTGCCAACCCACAAACCAATGCAGGGGCACCCCGAAGTAGCTTTGGGGCCCTTGCTGTGTTGCACCTGAAAGCTCAAAAGCGTTCCGCCCATCAACGCCGCATTGGCATTCGCTTAGGTCTGGTTGAAATTTGATGCCTCTGGTTTGCTCGCACCTCGCGCCGACACCTGCACGTTTTTTTTTTGGTTTCTGCCCCTTTCGGCAGTGGGATTCTCTCGCTGTGTTTCCCCTTCCTATTTGGTTTCTCGGTTGCGTGGGACGCAGGTGCGTGGCTTGCTGGAGGAGATGACTAGGGCGTGACAGCCCAGAATGGAAGGAGTTGCAAGCGTTGAGGGGCTATAGAATGCCGCATGCAGCATGCAGCACGGGTCCCATTGAGGCGCTACTCGTTTTGGTTGGGGGCGCTTTGGGGATTTTGGGGGGGTTCCCGGTGTCCCTCTCGTCAACCGCCCAAGAAAGCGTGCGGGGTCTGGCACGGGGTTCTATGGCGCTATTAAACTTCATCGCCTGACAATCATGTGTTTTTTTTCCTGAGAAGCTGCCGTGGTCGGGTTGGGCCGTCCTGGTGGTTCGGGGGGCTTTATCAACCCCGTCAGGCAAAACGCAACAGCTCCAAGCACAACCACCAGATGAATCCATTTATACCCGTTTCCTTTTTGTTTCTTTTCGTTTGGCGCATCCTCTTGGAAATGGTCAGCCACATTCCGATTTGCCAAGCGGGCTGCCTGGAGAATTGCGCTCCGAGCGAGGTGGTACGTCAACTCCAGCGCACCAAGATCCGTCAGCTCCGCATGGGCGATCCCGAAGCGAACGTTGTGAGCAAGGAGGCGGGGCCGACTCGCTCGGGGCTCGCTCGGGGCTCGCTCTTCTCGGGCCAAAAAAACAACTCCTGACTCGGAACTCGGTCCCCCAGTTGTGCCCTGTTACCCTCGGGGAGGGCTCCCCTACAATAGACTGGAGAAAAACGGGTATCCTTATTTGAACCTTTTTACTGGAGGACCCAGAAAAGAGACCCAAACAAGTAAGGTTGTAGATCCCAGAGGTTCGGGCTGCGACCGCCCTAAACCTGAACAGGAGGGTTCCATCCTTATTCATGTTTGGCCGAGAGGGTTGCACTTAGCTTGCAGAGAAACCCATTCGCCTGTTAAGAGGCGCCAAGAGCTGCTCTAAATCTTTGCTCATTTGCACTTGTGTTGGCTGGAGAGTTAGCAATGGGTATTCTTGCCATTCACAACACTTCAACTGCAAGCATCGCCTTTCTCGTAAGACATGAACACCAGGCTCCAACATAAAATCGGTTTTCAACATGCCCAGGCCTTGAGCATGCGATGATAGTTGCTAATATAAAAGAGTACTCAGATTAAGAAATTTCATATTAATAATAATAATTTATTTATTTATAGATTTGTTTATTTAATGATTATTATAATTGATATTGAATGATTAATTTGATTTAAATTATTTTGTATATTATAAATAATTATTTTGTTTGATTTAATTTGATTTATATGGATTTAATTGATTTTAAATGTTTTGTTTTATATTGATCTGAATTGATTAATTTCATTATATAGATATATATTGATATATATATATATATTATTTGTTTTAATTATTTTATACAATGAATTTGTGAAATTTGTTTATTTTATATAATGAATTTATGAAATGTTGTTGTCGTATTTGTGCGTTTTTTGTTGGATTTTTATTTTAAAATATTTCGGGTATTTTGGAAAATTGAATTGGATTGTTTTTGGAATTGGAAGAAGAATTATTTATATTTCTTATGATTTGTTTATTTAATTTTATTTGGATGATTTTGTTTATAATTGGATTGTGGGATTAAGGGATTTATATATATTTTTGTTATATAAAGGATTTTTTTATTTGGGGAATTGATTATATAGAAAAAATTTGTTTTGGATTATAATTATGATATTATGGTTTTATTGTTTATAGGAATTAATCTTTCATTATTTTGAATATACGGCTCTAGAGCGCATGTTGCAAGCAAAAGGGCGTGGTGATGGAGTCGCGAAAGATTTGCGAAAGATGTTTTTTTCTCGTGAAAATGATATTTTCGGAAATAAGAATTTTAACCAATTATTATATAGTTTTTGACAAATATATATAATATGATAAAATACATTGGCGCTTGAATTACAAAAAATGTCTTATCGACACGGGATTTACAGGATTTGTTCTATTCTTGGTATATCTACCACGGCTTGGATCTTACCCCTTGAGAATTCGGCTTATTCGACGCTTTGGGAGAGTGCATGAAGCTTTGTGAGATTGTGTCTTTGTGGACGCTCTGGTCGCGGTCTAGTGGGTTGTTTTTGGTGGGAATATGCTAGATTTCTTTTTTATGATTGTTTTTCTTTTTTTGACACCCGTTTTAATTTACTCCTTAATTGTTGGTTTGGATTAGTGAATTGAGGATTAAATTCTTAAATTATATTGAAATTAAATGGCAAATATTTCCTGATAAGCAGTATCAGTACCATAATGTAGCGCAGCATAACGAGGTATGTAATGGCTATGTAACGAGGTCTGTAACGAGGCAAAGCAAAGCGTAGGACGCAAAGCGACGCCTCCGCAGCTCCAGCTTGATTGCAGCTATTTAACACAAGCCAAGTTGCGGCAAAAAGCGAGTCGTTGGGCCGGGTTGAAAGTTGGGTCTTGTAACGAGGTCTGTAACAAGACAAAACGAAACGAAGTACGCAAAGCGCGCCTCCATACCACCACATATCATTATGGCTTCGATCAACCTAAGGTTATGCATTCGAATCTCTCGAACTAGGTCAAAGTCGGCCAGCTTCTCCGTCTCGCCATTAATTTAAATCTTGTTACTTAGGTGCCCTTTTATAGCATCCTTTTTTGGGCTAAATTACAAGGAAACCTTGTAAGGAAGGCTTTCGACTCCAATTTAAAACAAATCGTTCCGCTCCTCTAAAAAGTTGCTTATTCCTCCACAAGCCTTTAAGCCAAAACATACCCACACAATGCATCCAAAACTATGCAAGTATTAGCTTGTTAATTTGGATTGGTACATTGGTGTTTTGGAGGTTAGGGAGTGGTTTTCTATTTGGCAATGAATTTTTGATAGGGGGTCCATAACAGAGCCGCGGCGGACATTCGTTACACCCTCGTTATATATCCTCGTTATATACGCCCTTGTTATACATTGAATAGTTGAAATCAAGTGCTTTGCTTTTGCCGTAGCTTAGCTTGCGTTGAATAGAACTACGCTTTGCTTTGTTACAGACCTCGTTACACAATCGTTTTATACCTTGTTATAGATCCAATTCCAGCCCGGGCCAACGACCCCGCTTTTTGCCGCAGCTTAGTTTGCGTTAAATAGCTGCGGCGTGTTTATTAATGATTTAGCGAAATTAGTTTGGCTTAGTTTGCACCTAGAATGTTATTTGATCAATCATATTTTCGCTTGTATTTACAACAATTGTGTATGTCATCGATTATATATTTACACGCTAGTATCGGGCGCTTGAGGCACACTTTTTGCTGTAGTGCTTTAGGAAATATATTGAGGTAGTATTGAGAAATTCCATTTGTAACTCACCCTTTGGAGTGTAGTCTTTCGAAATGTTTTGTCTGGGTAGTTTAAGGCAAAGGCTTGACGTTTAGTTTGGTTGTTGCTCGAAGTTGCGAGGCTTGTGGCGATATTCTGGCGGAACTATACATGTTTAGGAGTGATAATTAGAGGCAACTAAGCATATACTCCCTAAGATAGGGTGGGCTAGGGATATGGGGCCGAATATATTTTTCGATGGCTGAATGAATTACATTTTCATAATTATACTTTTTATTTTTTATTTTTCTCGAAATATTCCGAAATTGTTTTTTATTAAGCATTTCCTCGGTTTGTTGACTTGTTTTCTGTGAGTATGTAATTATGTCTATAATTGTTAGTTGGAATGATTCTTTTTATTTTCTGATTTTGATATTATTTTGCCATGGACTTTATCTTATACATTTATATATATATATATATAATTGAAAAACATATAAATATATTAATCGATTTATATGGTATAGATAAATTATTATTAACTTATGAATTCTAAGATATATAATACTATTATATAAAAAATATATTTAAAAATATAATATAATTTAGATTATATATAAATAAATATAATATATGTTTAAATATTAATTATTTAAACCAATATTATTTTTATGAACAAACATAGAAATAATTTTTATATTGTGGTAACTAATTAAATTAATTTTCTTTGAAATAAATAATAAATAAAAAAATAAATATACGAGAAAATATATATATATATATAGGAAAATAAAAATGGGCGAAACTACACAAAGCCATATTTTTCAAAAATATGACTTTGTGTATGAATTAAGAACATTTTGCACGGTTGGAATTGTATAATAGAAATAGCTTGTAAGGCGAGATAACGATTTCGTGGTAGACGCACTTTCGCGAGGTTAAATGTTTCTTCAGGTTTGAATTGTGTGGCGAGCATAGCATTTTCGCATGGTCAAATATAGATTCGTGGTAGGGGTATCAATTTCGCAAAATTTAATATAGATAAATAAATAGATATAGAAAAATAAATCGAAGAATTAAATAGATATATAAAAAAGAGATAAATAAAAAGATAAATATATAGATTAATAGATTAATATGGATAAATAAATGGATAAATAGACAGAGAGAAAGATAAATAGATAGATAGATACATAATATATATAAAAAGAGATAGATAAATAAATGAATAAATAAAAGAAAGATAGATAGATTTGTAGATAGATAGGCTATATAAATAAATAGAAAGATAGAGAATTAAATTTTCAGATAAATAAATAGGGAGAGAGAGATATGGATAAAAGAAAGAAAGAGCAAAAGCAAAAATAAAGATATATATAAAGGGAAAGAATATAAAAGAACAATAAAGATAATAATAATACAAGAAAAACAAGAATAAAGAGGAAGAATAATAAAGCAAGAACCAAGAAAAATCCAATTATAGTTTTATATTTATGAAATATATTTATGAAATTTGTTGTAAATTATTATGTTAATATGCATTTTTATAATAAAATAGATGTTTAGCAATTTATATAATATTTAAAGAATATATATGGTTTATTAAAGGTTCTATTTACAGAAAAAATACATATTATACAGATTTTAAAACATATTTTAGGATCTAAACCTCATTTTTGATTTCGTTATTTAATCGCTATATACCTCGTTTTGGATTTAATCCTAGCTCGGGCTAACGTCTTCTCTTTTTTCCGCATCTTAGCTTGCGTTCAATAACTATAATTAAATTGTAGAGGCGCATTACATTCCTCGTTACAAACCCAACCCTATCCTACGTTAGCAATTTTCTATTTTTACTGCAATTTGGATTGCGTTGGACAATTGTAATTAAGTTGGAGTTACGGAGTCGTATTTTGCATATTATATTTTATTATGTTTCGTCATAGACCTCGTTAAATAGATGTTATACTCTTATTACAGACCCAACCCTAGGGCGAATTTTGTTATGGAGGTTTGTAACGGAAATCCTTATTACATAAATCTATAATGAAAAAAATGAAAATCACAATAAAACGGAAATTAGCAAAGAACAATAATTCCTGTTCGAAAAGTATCACCTCCACAAAGTACGACCTCCGCAACTCCAGCTTGAAATTTGCAACTGCCGGCACAAAGCCAAGCGATAACAACAAAAGGGGTCATTGGCTCGGATTAAGATTGGGTCTGCAACGAGGCAAAAACGGCTAAATAACGAGGTCTATAACGAGGCAAAGTAAAGCGCAGTATACGTAGTTCCTGATTGTAAGCTATTGAATACAATCTAAGATATGTGTAAAAAGGGGACTTGTTAACCCGATGGCACGTCATTTATTACAAATCCTTAAAATAAATAATTATATAAATTATATTAAAATACACATTATATATATTAATATTCGTTAACATTATGAATTAATGTTTTTAATTGCTATTTAAAAATACATGTATTATCGGTTTATCGATAATTAACTATACAACATTCATTAAATAACATATTTATATTTTTAATTTAATTATTATAAAATTATCAAAATTAATTTTCGATATCTTATTAAAATCACATTAATTAAATAATAATAATATTATTTAAATTACATTAAATCCCTTATTAATTTCTAATATCGAATAATATATATTATATTTTGTACTATAATATATAATTCTTTATATATATATATATATATAATTTATATATTTTTATAATTAAGAAACCAATATTAAAAGAACATGGATATAAATTATCTAAATAATATGTTCATTTATATATCTATAATTAATTTTGTATATCACAAATAATAAAAACAATTATTATCGGGCCGCTATATCGACTAATTGCATAACAAATTTAAATATATTCTTTCTCGTTTATTGTTTGTTTTGCCCGTGTGTATTATTTTAAGATATTATATATATATAGAAATTATAATATAAAAAATATCAAATAATATAAAGATATAATATAAAGATACAAATATAAATAATAATATTTTCTACCTAAGAGGTTTGCACAACGAGGATTCACTAAAATTAATTCAATAATAAATCGGCATAATTAGATTTTATTAATGATAAACAATATTTTTTATTATCGATTAAAAATACGATTAAAACCACTATATATATATTATAGAATATGTTATGATTTAAACAACATTATTAAAAAGACGATTTAGCAGGGTCCCCTATCCCCCTCTTTTCGAAGAGAGATATATATATATATAATATAGATTGGTAGATTCTAGATTTTAATTCATCTATTGCAGGCTGCTAAAGCTAAGCCACAAATGTATGAATAATTTACGATATTTCTATCCAATATATGATTTTTTACTATGGAATTTCCTTAATTTGTGGAAATTATATTTCATTAATTATATTTATTCAATATATATATATCCGGAATTAATCCTAAAAAAGAAGGAATAAGACCCAATATCTCAAAAATATATATTTTAATTATCAATTATAATCCAAATACAATTCCAATACATTTGGAACCAAGCGGCCACAACATTTATATCTTTATAAGATAATTAAAAAAATATAAATAAATTTATAACGATTTATATATTTAATATATTGAAATATATATTTCTTGGTTAATAATAAAATCACAATTCACAATAAACAAAATCATAAAATATTAAAATATTCTTCCATAAAAAAGAATAAAGAATCTAAACAATATATATATAATATATTCTAAATCCCCCCTCTTACTATATTTGTGTTCTACAAAATATAATACATTTAATATCCTAATTTCTTTATGCCAAATACTACCTCAAATTAATTCATAAAAATCCTAAATTTAAATAATTATATATTAATATATTAAATAATATAATCAATTAATATCTCATATCAATCTAATATATATTTAAATATATATATTTAAAATCCAATATATTATCAAACTATATTCACCTAAATTCTAAAATAAACGCCCAATTAACCTCCCATTGAGCTATTGAAATTCAAACCACACCAAATAATTCTTCATTCTAATGCACAAATTCGCCGGAAAAAGATCTATATAATATACAAATATAATTATATAGATACACATATATATAACATCCCCCACGCCGTCTAAATATCATTCGACCACGAGAACTAATCCAACCACGATCCAATAAATATCATCCAGCTAACACAATTTATCACCATCCTCTCATTACTAAAGATAATACATTTTTTTATACAATCAAAAATTGTTATAAATATAGCCGAAATCAAAATTATCTATATAATAATGAAAAACAATATATAGAAATTATACAAAAATATCAATTATATAACATATCCTATTTCTTTTTATCCGATATTAAATCCTAAATTAACAATTATATAAATTTATATATATAATAATATAAAAAATAGATTTGTTTTAGCCTCGATTTATAAAATTTACCTAATATTATTTTAAAATCTAAATAATAAAAATATTCAAATGATAAATATATTATTCCCACAATAACAAGAATTCTAGACCAAAATATATCTTTATCTATCCCAAAATTTAAATTCAATCTAAAAAACAACAACCCAAACAAATAATAATATACATAACCATTACTTATCTATTACATAATATATCTTTCACACAATACATATACATTTTATTAATATAAATAAAATCATAACAAAATATATATATATATATATTTAATTCTCCTTAAACCTACATAAAATGTTCTTCTTCCTATTCAATAATAAAAATCAAATAATATGGAATATTAATACAATTTTAAATCTCATCCATATTAAAATAAATATCCAATACCCTCCGATTATCCAAATAATAATACATTCAAATATCCCAAAAACAATCAAAATAAAATAAAACATATATTATCAATTACTTTTTGATAATATATATGCATATATATATATATATCATCAACTTATTATTAATAATTTTTCAAAACAAAAATCCCCAACGCCCATTTCACCTTTCTATACCCCTATATATTCCCCCCCTAGTTATTTCCCTCCCAAAATAACAATAAATCATTACAAACGGCCATCATATAATTCGATTATCTCCATATCATCCTTGTCTCGCCCCCCCATATCGCCTTTGTATCACCCCAAGTCACCCCATAATTTTAATATAAATAAAATATCAAAAACCTCAAATATCCCAACCATCCAAATATAATCACCAATTTCCCAAACATAATTTTCACAACCCAAACCAATCTTTAATCAACATCATCCCAAATACATAAATAGCAACACAAAAAACCACCAACCAAAAAAACAAGCACGACCATTCCTCCCCCCACTTTATATTTTTTCTAAAATAAACAAAAATACCCAAAAAATACAAATCAAATTAAACCATATTATATTGTATTTTAACAATTTAATTGAAACAAAAATAATCCCCCCCAAAAAAACACGAATCCACCAATCAACTACAAATCAACAACCCAGCATTAAAGATTATATATAATTTTAACAATATATAATACAATTCAAAAAAAATCCAATCATACACAATATAACACAAGATAAAATAATAATAATAATAATAATAATAATAATAATAATAATAATAATAATATAAAATTAACACATATATATATATATAAATCTAGCATTTTAACAAAATCATTGGAATTGCATTTAGTTACAGGGAAACCCTTCCTCCCCCAAATAAAACAGGAAATCGAGCGCACGCCCAATTTCCGAGCCGGCCCGCCGGTTTTTGTTCCTTGCCTGCGGCCTGTACATTACCTCCGCAAAGAGTCTCCCTGGCAAATTGGCATGGAACCTCCCAAGACCGCAGTTCCACAGGCGGGAACCTATCGGAATGGGATCTTTTTCTTTGCAGATGTAGGTTTTGTTTTGGGGCGCCATGTCTGAGGGGTCCAAGTCAATGTGCAGGGTATGAACATTTGGCCGTCCCGGACGTGCCTCGGGCACCCTGGACAGTCTTGCTCATGTGGGTGGACGAAAGAGTCGATTGGAGCTGCCGGGGTGCGAACAAGTGATTCAAAGTAGACGGCACAATTCTTGCAAACGTAATAGCCGTGTTCTTCATGGGTGATACAATGCCAGCACGTTGACGCTCTATCTCAAAAAGGCTATGAGCGGGTTACAAATATCTCAGCGTTCGGCCCCCCTTTTCAATGAAAGGAGTCTCTTTCCACCGGCTCCGATTGCCTTCCTGTCCGCCAAACTTCTTTGAGTTCCCGCAGTATGCCCTTGAAGAACCCAACAGCAACCAATGAATGAACAGAGTACTGGAAACAGGACCATATTGGAAAATGAATGGCAACATGACTAGATGGCTGATTTACTCTCACGGACGAACTAAAGAATCAATGAGCCGCACAATGCTTGAATCCATGAAAAAACAACTATATCTATACATATATATATATATATGCATACACATTGCATTAACACTCGCCGTCTCTTCCCAAGTTCGAGCTGGCGCTTGCCTGGGTGCTGCAATAGGGTTGGCCTGGAAAAAGAAACAGTTCCTCTCCCGCAGATTTCCAGGGCCGTAAGGCCTGCGGAGGAAACTTCTTTCGGGGGGACCACCTGTCGAGATTTTTGAGTGAGATGTTAACTTGCAGAGTACCCATCAGATTCAGCTAGCACCCAGTCACCCTTCGTCCCCCTCTTTCAGGCACAGGACCGCAGGACCACGTACCTCTGCGAAAAAGGACGACAAGTCTTCCATTTGTGTTTTGGCGCCGCTAGACGTCGCGGTGCCAAAATGGTTAGCATTTTTCGTTCACATCAAAGCCCATCTGCAGCAAATGGAAGTTACCTGGTTTGCTCTGGAAGCAAACCAGGCAGCCAGAAGAGGGTGGCACATTTTATAATGAGGGTGATCTTCGTAAATGGGTAGAGTAGAGAAAACTTAGCATTCAAGCGCAGGTCAAGTTCTATGCTAAATGGCAGGGTATCCGCAAGAGCATCGACCAAAGCCCAACATTCCCGGCTTCCTCTAAATGGGACTCTGGATTTCGAGACGTCCCAAAAGGTTCACATTTTTTACACAAAAACTGACTGAGCCAATAAGGTATTTCCTCAAAGTTAGAAACCAACCTTTCAAAGGGTGCCATGGGTGCCTTAAAAAAGCACACGTCCATATGACCCCTTCAAGCGCCACCCAGAGGTAGTCTCATTAAACATCATCTCCAAAAAATGGAGGATGACAAGTGGTTGCTAGCTCACACAGAAAGGCATCCTCCATTTTTGGACTCTGCTTTCACCCACGCTCCCTTCATTGCCCCTAAAGACACAGGGGTCCCTCGTATGCGCCATTTTGAGCTGCCGCAACGTTTGATGAGACCACCTTTGGGTGCCGCTTGAAGGGGTCATATGGACGTGTGCTTTTTGAGGGTACCCTTTCATGGGTTGATTTCACTGGAATCCAAAAAGACCAAACCATTTGCGGTCTAAATCTCAATTTTGAACCCCCAAATGATCCTGTTTTCAAGCGTACCCTTTTCGGCTAGGGAAAGCCATGTAGAAACTGTCAAGCACTATTCAGGCCACCCCTAGATGGGTTCAATTGTTTGAGGATTTGAGCTTCTGGTTGTGGGTAAATGAAAAAAACCCACCCAGGAACACCACCAAACCACCACTCCAAGCTATGAATTAAAGCTGAATTGGGATAATCTCCCAAATCGAACGAGCGACCAAAAGCGACCACGAGTGACGCGCACCCCCGGGGATTTCCAGTGACCTTGTTGTAGCTGCAAAGGGACTCCACCAGCGTCTGGAGGCGCACCTCAGTGTTCAAAAGCTCGAGCTGCACTTTTCTGGAAGTTAAAAGGGGTGTCCAAAACCACCAACCCCCCCCCATGGAACAACGGATAGATATCCGTACATACATGAGTAAATAAACCAACACATCAACAAACACACCTGTATGTCATGGCTGTATATATATAATTAATGTGAG